GCTTCCTGCTGCTGCTTGATGACAGATGCTGCATATATCGCGGCACGCATAGCAGCCGCTGTAGGATTGACCTGACCATGGAAATGCGCAAACTCAGCATCCGTAATAAGATCTTTAGGATGATTGTCTTCGACTAACTTCTTGAAACTAAAAACAATTACAAGGCACAATTTTTCATGTGGAAGACTTACCTATCCCAGTTCTGAAAGTACATCTGCGTGGGAGTTGCCAGAAGGCGGTCATACAAGCACCTAATGAGGAAAATACGGTTATGAGCAGTTTCCCAGCTTATGTAATGCTCCCACAAAGGATCTGATCGAAACTCCAACCCAGCAGCATCAATCGCCTCTTCGTATAATCTATAAGAAACAAGCGTTAAACGGAATAAGAAAAAGGATAAATGAAATGGACTCACTTTCTCATAAATGACTCTGAATTTGGCTGCCCATGGTGAAGCTCCATAGCAATATCAAGATAAGCCGTCCATAGATCAATGCTGAGAGGAATTGCCTTAACACCTTTCCTATAAACCTAAATGTATAAAAAACGCATGGGAGGAAAATCGGATAAAGAATGGAGGAACCATAACATAGTGCAAATTTAGGAGGAAAGATGTGGCTCCACTTCAGTAAAAACAGGATGAGGCCAAGGATGTAAACCAACACAGAAGACAAGCAAAAATAAAGGCTGTGCGCATTATAATGACTGATGTGAGAACAAAATGCTGTGAAGAAATTACTTACTTCAATGCTTCGTTCTCTGCCACTTTTGTGCCTTTCTAGCTCTGCATATTTCTTCCAGTAACCGTAGCAATATGGAAAATGAGCAAGGAAAGAATCGAATGCTTTTCGAGCATTTTCTATATTTTGCTACTCAGAAAATTACAAATAAACCAATATAGTACCTCTTTTTCTACAAAATCCAATAAACTGGTCCAAGTTTGGAAATCATCCGGATTCAATCTGCACTTCTTCCAAAGTTTTTCAAAGGACATGGAGGGTAGGAACAGGGTGTGCCAATTTGCAGTAGACCCCAACTATAATCCATCAGTTTAAAACAACTATATAAAACAAAAATCTATTAATTTTCTGAAAATAAAACTGAATAAATATGTTTTTATTAAATATATTTGAGCAGTTATATTAAAAATAGTCCTTTTAATTTTCTACCAATACTTGTAGGGCATACTCTTCAGGAAATGTATGTGACAGTGGAACCAAAATATATTTACGTAATTTTGCCATAAGTTAATAATTCATCTGACATAAATGGCTGCATCTCTTAGATTTTTTACGAATGGTAAGTCTTACATTAATTCAATCTCTCATTACTCTAGATGTAATATTGGCTTATATTATTAGTGTTTCATAGTCAGAGGACTAACAAGCGCATCCTATACTTTTCTCAGGTTCCTTATATAACTCACTCACCAATGACCGTCTAGTTTTTATTCAGATGGCTTGCCCCTTATTTACCTAAAATCT